ATTTCATTTTAGTGTATCCCCAAGGAAATTTTGAAAATAGTATTTTTATTATAGGTCTAAGGAAACTACGGTCTTAGCGTCCGTACTTGCTCATGAACAGGAACGTTTGAACTGCAAGTTGCGTCTCCGCATGCGCTCGAGAATTGCTGCTTTTGCGACCGTTATGATTCTTAAGCTAAGTACGATTCTTGCCAGTATTTGTTTATCATAGTATTGCTCTAGTATTACTAGTATCTTTACATTTTTGCTACTATTATCTTTATTACTCTTCTTATTAAGTACTATCGTTACTAAACTTACTTCCCATTTCAGTTCTGAGCCCAACTTGCACAGGCGAGTCTGATGCAGGTGGCACAGACGATGAGAACAAGGCATGGCTGGCCACTGTGGTAAGATCCTTCTTCTTGTTACTAGCAACAATAGCAAGGATGAAAGGGTTTAGGGCTTAGGGTTAAGGGTAGTATGGTAATCATAGGAACAACAGGAGGAATAGCAATGGTATGAATGCTTGCTGTTATGAGTTGTTGTCATTAAAATGAAAGTCACGTGCCCTTACGGTAACAGTTTCCACAATAAGTAATAGGAGTTTTAATAGCCCCCTAGTTGGATCCTTTTCAGGACAGCTACTGCAAGCGGAAATGACCCAAACGATTATTTTAACTAAGGTTTCTACTGTTTTACTTTTCTCATTACTTACCATTATTGTTACTGTGCGTGTTAGTACTACTATTATTTTTCTCATAGTCATGGCTATCATTCCTGTTATTGCTATCATTGCCGTTATTACTACTAGTATCATTGTATCATTTTGTTTATTATCCTTGCTATTGTTGCTGCTAGCTATCCTTATTATTATTGTTCTTATTGCTACTACTGTCATTATCATTACTATTGCAATGATTGTTACTACGATTCTAGAACCCCTTGTCTTGGCAACTCCAGGCAAAGTAGCCGAAGTGAACGCGCTGGCCATGCAACTATAATCCACATGGGTTCAGGGTTTAGGGTTGGGGGACCCCAATATAGACCCCAAAATGCTGTAATCTTTCATGTAGACCCGTGATTACTAAACCCCCGCCTTTTGAGGGACTTAATATACGGATACCTATTATAATCCCTATTAAGGGGAGGGGGTTTATTAATCGTGGGTCTACATTATTTCCAGAATGTGGGAGATCACCACATCAAGCATCCTTTTCAACCTGATCAAACCCAGCGGTCTCAGTAACTCAAAATTCCATGGAGCCACGGGAATGCGAGTCCTTTCCTTGGCTTGTCCGGAGCCTTCAGCAATCAGGATGTTCTGCAAATTTTCCTGTTCGGGACTTACATTCATTCATTCATGGATTTGCTACGTTGGAGCACTTCAAACAGGCCTTCCGATCCTGGCACCTTAAACGGACACAGGATGATTGAGCCCTTGCCAGAGATTTCACGAAGTGCTGCTGCTGCCGCTGCCATTCCTGCATGCAGCCACGTGAAGGAAGCACCAACTGCTGCCATCAGCTTCGTGGACGTATCGTTCTCGATCTCCTGTGTGGCATTCGCAGGCGTGGCAGAGAAGCATGATTCATGACTTGTGTTGACCAGGGCTGGGGCATTGCAATTTTGTGGTGGGGTTGAGGGACAATGGCATTCTCGATTCAAACAGTGCAGCTTCTGGAGGTTTCTCTAGCTCTTGTAGAGCTGTGTACTGCTTGATCTACCGACATGGGAATAAGAGCTTTCTCGTTGGTCGCAAAACCTACAAAGATCAATTCCCTTGTGTCAGTGTCACATGTTTTTCAGTGCGTTCCCTGGCCCAGCTTGTGCGCTGATGATGGTCCAGCTGCGCAAGTGAGGGCTTCTGCTTTGTTTGCTTAGTTCCTTTTTCCACATCAGTTGCAATGATTCAGAGACTCCTCGCTTCCCTGACGGCTTTGAGGGCAGAGTTGCTTGGAGATCTAGACTGGTGTTGAGAGTCCCATTGCCTGTGCTTTGACGGGACGAAGGCTGCCCGCCACACCGCCATGGGTTGGCCAGCCAATTGGCTAGTTGGTTTAGGCCCGACTGAGATTTTTTTCCGAGCCTGGAGCAGGCAGCCTTCTTCATAGGCGAACCTGAGCAGCAATGCTCGGAGCTGTGCTTAACAAGCACAAGTCTCCTAATCCAATGATATCTGAATCTGGCGATGCAACGCCAAAGACATTGAGCTGCAAGTTGTAGATATGCCTCTGTCGAACGCAGACTCAATAGTTACTCTGTTCACGTGTTTGAAAACATGCCCTGATGTCGTTTCCGTGGTTGTGAATGCAGCTCAGAATCATAGAGCGGTGAGCAAGAGAGCTCTGAACTCAGTCTGCTGGCCCCCTGTGCCACTCCCCCGTATTGGGGTTGGTACGTAATACCTGACACTCGGTTCCTGAATCGTTCATGTTTCTTCCAGAGAAAAAGCTCTTTGGGCGTCTTCGCCCCAAGCCCACGATGGGCGCAGAAACTTTTCCTGGCGAAGTGCTCAAGGAGTTGGAGAGTTTGAGTGTGCCAAAGCATGACAGGCATGACAGTATGAGAAAGCACGGGCCGAAGAAGTGGGCTGACTCCCGCCAAGCCCCCTGGGCTTGCGCAAATCCTTCCTGTAGTCTCCAGTGGAGTCTTTCAAAATCTTCAATATAGTATAGCCCTATTGAATTCTTAGAATCAATATGAGCTATAGTCTAAACTCCTTAAAGGGGTTTATATGGGGGATTATATAGGGGACTACTATAAGCGTCATTAAGGGGGATACTAGGAATTTAGACTAAACCCTAAACCCTAAACCCCAAACCCTAAACCCTAATAGTGGGTCTAAGGAGACTACAGCTTCCGAATCGGTGAATTTCTCGCAGAGAGGCAGGCCCTATGCCATGTGAGCGTGTCCCAGGAGCCTGAGCCACAAGATGCCACAGGGCACGTCCGAGAGACTACAATGCCTATATGAGCCATTATCAAAACTCCTTAAAGGGGATTATATGTATGTAATTATATAAGGGACTACTATAAGGGATATTAAGGGGGATACCAGGAGTTTAGACTCTAGCTCATATAAGGATAAGGGAAAACAAAGTGTAAACTACTAAGTATAGGGTTCGTGTTTAGGGTTGGGATAACGGAAAATAAAATGTAAATTGCTATATATATATATATATATGGTTTAGGGTTGCGAGAATGGAAAATACAATGGGAAGTACCATATAGGGTATAATATAGGGGTTATATCGGGATGATGGCAAATGCAATGGAAATTTCTATATAGTATTATATAGGGGTATAAAATAGGGTTGATACAGGGATCATGGAAAATGAGATGGAAACTACTATAGGGATTATATTATATAGCTGGGGTTATGTTAGGGTTATCCTCCACTACAACTCTGTGTCCTTCTCAGCGGAGATGCCTGCTCAGTTTCACTGTGTCGGCCTGGACCAGGCGCTATTAGGACGCTGCTCTTATCGTGCTACGTAAGTAGGAGAAGGACAGGAGTAGGATCACCTCAAGACATTCGGGTTATTCTTCAAATTATGGGCCCCTTTTGTTTATAGATTATATTACAGCACCCAATACTTGGGAAACCCTAAAACCCCCCAAGAAACCCTGCATAATCCCAGTGTTCATTTTGTTTTCCATTTGATTCTCCATGAAGGGTATCAAAATGGGACCCCTAAACCCTAAACCATTAGCACGTGGGTGGCCTTTTGGAAGTCACGTCCCGCGGCACTCTGCGGAGTGCCGCCTCGTATGTTTACAGCACGGTGGGAGACGCTTCAGTGGCGCTTGTGCCATTGAAACTTGTAAGGATGTGTTAGGGTGTAGGGCTTAGGATTTAGGGTCTGGGGTGTAGGGATGTTACCCCAATAAGGACGTGTGTATTTGGGGCACTCAGGGTGGTGCAAAACTGCTTACTGGTTACACTCCTGAGGTCTGCCGCACAGTCTGCCACCGTGTGAGTATGCCTAACATTGCCTAACCCATCGTTTGGCTGGAAACCCTAAACCCTAAACCCTAAACCCTAAACCCAGTTTTGTACCGATACAAGCCCGCTTGGCCCGCGGCTTGGTACTGACTTTTACCAATCAACCCTTCTCCAAGTGAGAGCGTCTACTTTCAGTCATTCAACCAACTTCATATCGCTTTGGGAAGGACGTCGGTGGCCTATGTACGAGACGCAACCAGCGCACTATGGAAAAAGTTTGCAGCATCTAGCTATCCGAAACCCTATAAACACGTACAATATAGTAGTTTCCACTTTCTTTGCCATTTATCCCAATGTATCCCCACTATATCTCCTACATACCCACCAGTTTTCATGGCTCAGTTGATCTGCAATTTCTGCAAGGGGGCTGAACTTGCCAAGCAGCGCGTGCATGACATGGCCGCGCAGAAGAAGAAGGCCGTGCAGGGATTGCCGTGTGGATCTTTAAGCTGCAATGCTCAGCTTGCCGCTGTCTTAAACCCTAAACCCTAAACCCTAAAACCCTAAACCCTAAAACCCTCAACCCTAAACCCCCTGATAAACCCCCTGAAGCTGTTAACAGTTTGGGAGGCCATGATGGTTGAGGATGACCAGGAGCTGGATGCCGCAGCGCCCTACCGAATCGTGTGTGAGGACTCTCTTGCACAGTATGCCTCGCAAGCTCAGCATATAGTCCCCCTTAAGTAGATAGAATACGGCTTTGGGTATATTAGAATAAGATCCCCATGTACCCCATGTTCTATCTACTTAAGGGGGACTATAGGTGTTGCTCGTGTTTCCTGCCACGTCTGTAAAGCAAGAAAACAAACGGTGTTTCCTTTTCAGCATCCTTGCTCAAGCACCTCACTGCCTTGCAGTGATTTGGACCAATTTCTGCTTCAATGTACGTTGGGCTGCCTGTGAAGTGTTGCTGCGCTGTCCTTAGGAACTATTTCTAATTTCTATTATAGTATAACTGTAAGGAAATATTAAGAATATATTGTTTTTATTATAGGTCTAAGGAGACTACAGGTTACACAACAGGCAACGCTTCACCTTCAAGACCACGGCTGCCATCGCTTTGTCTGGTTGAGCGGGTGACTAGGCGTGGGGCCTGCGGTGTGCCCGCGCTTGCAGCTTTTAGCTGTGGCGTTCAACTTCTTCGGTTTCGTCGCAGGGTTGCAAGCACATGTCAGCGGCGGGCGCAACCAACCCTGGACTCCCTTCTGACTTTTTGGTTCGGTACTGAAGTGCTGAGCGCTCGTGAGCAGCTAAACGACGCAGCCTATCTTCGCGGTCGGACGAAGATGTGGTACCTGAGCGGCGCGAAGCATGATGAAACGGCACGAAGCTATTTGCCGCTCCTGGAGCAGGAGCACAAGCTTTGGCCGCAAAGGGAGGCTCTTAAGCCAACGGAGGTCTCCGAGTCGGAGAATTTGGCCAACTTGGCAAGAGTCGTGCTCTTCGACCAGATCCCGAGGAATGCTTTCAGAGGGACAGCTAAGGCATTTGATTATGATGGGCAGGCATTGGAAGTGAGCGATCAGCTCCTGCAAACTGGATTTGCGGACTCTTGCTCTGCTGCTGAGTTGTCGCTGTACTCTCCTTAGGACTTTTTGAATATTTTTGAATTTCTATTATAGTATAACCCTACGGGATTATTATAACTACTATTCTTTTATAGGTCTAAGGAGACTACAGGTTGTGCCTTGTCCAGCCCTTCAGTCACAGCGAAGAGCCGGCGGATGGTTCGCGTGTGAAAATGGGCATAGAGATACTGCAGAGGAACATACGACGCTTTCCAGACGCAGCTTCCAAGACAATCTTTCAAGTGTCCTGTCCGATTGTAAGTGGGAATCATTATTATGTTATTATTATTAGTACTATTACTATTCTTACTAATAATATTATTACTATTATCATTATTACTAGTCTATATAGTTAGTACCACTATTCATATTACTATCATTGCTATTTTGTAAGTGGGAGTCTAGCAGATTTTCATGCTTCAGACCGACTGTCACCTGCTGTACAAGCATTGGGCAATGCCAGCCCCTGCCCCCTAAACCCTACACCCGAATCCCACTC